ACCTCAGCGATTACCCAGGCGGAGATTCACCATCTTAGGGCGAACAGTGCGCCTCAATGTGGGCCTACTGGCGGGGCCAAGAGGCTCAGACTGCTTTGCCAACTGGGCCCTGACGCTTCACCGTTATTGGAACAAAAAATTACAACAATGGGTAGCCGGCCGCAACAGTATTGCCAGGGACAGAAACCATCCTTTGTGGCTGAGCAACACGGAATTCCTGCACGACTACATTGTGCAGCATGCTCTTCAGCCTTGTCTCCTGCCAGTACACAAGGTGTCACCATGGCCCTTGTGGATGACGAACTTCCTCGCGCCAGGTAACACATCTTTTGGATACCAACTGCCGGATCTCGTGCTCATTCAACAGGAAGGTGTTTTCGTCAATCTGTGGGAATCGCAGTGGGTCGCCTCTGATGGTGGCGAGAAGGTTCGAGACCTCTTGGAGCAGGTTAGAGAGCAACGTAATGCGCCAGGCGTGGGATTATCGATTCGCACTTGCGACACATTGGCGGGTTCCCCGCCAATCCAAAGCCAAGGCCCCCGGAAGTTACGCCCTCCCTCTCTGCAATGGAGTCAGATTGACAACAAGGTGCTGCACGATCTGTACCTGTCATGCACGGGCCCGGACAGAGTCCTTGGATGGACCGCTCGAGGCTTACGCCTCCGAACGCAAGATGCCACCATTTTTGCGACCCTTTCCAGGGTGTTTATCAAAGACCTAGCTGCCCACCTGTACAAGGCAGCACGGAGCAAAGTCAAGTCAACATTGCACCTTTGGGGCCCGCTTACCACGCTTCTCCTAGTTGGTGCTCAGTGGCCCCTTCACCACCAGCTGGCCTGCAACACTGCAGTTTTTTCGGTGTGGATCATTCTTAGCGGGGCTTTGGAGTTTCAAGTGCCCGGACGGGCACACAAAGCTTTTGGAGCAGGAAGCGTCATTGTTTCGGATCTTTTGGTCAGAGGCGGCAGTGTCTCCAGGCTCACAACCAATACTCGGGTGCTGTGGGGCACTGTACCACGGTACATGCTACAGCGGGCACCTACCCGGGAGCAGATCCTCAGAGCACGTAGCCTGAAGCAACAGATACTGAGTATTCGGAAGAGCGGCCGTAGGTTGCGTGGGCAGCAAGCGGACATTAGAGCGCGGACCTTGCCTGGTTGCGCTAACTGCACTATGGCTGGGCTGTTGGATCAAGCTTAACTTCCGGAACAGGCATTGTGAGTTTCACTCAGATCTGTGCCCCCCCTTGCCTAGGGGCCGCTTCAGACGAAAACCATCGCATTGTGGCTTCCAAGTGTGCATCAGGATTTTCGGAGTGTTGAATGGGTTTGCTTGGTCTTCCGTTTCTGCTCGTTCTTGGTTCTAGGCTCTCTGGTCCTTTTTTTTTTTTGCGTTTGTTTCCTCGGTTTAGGCTGCCTCCAGAAGGCCCTGCTGCCGGTGCGTCGCTCTCTGATGGGGCTGGTAAGTGTGTGAGTGTGTGTGTGTGTGTGTGTTTTTTTTTCTTTTTTTTTTTTCTTTCTTCTTTCTCTCTGCCAAGGTTCCCTCGTGTCCGGGTGTGTTTTTCTTGGTTTTTCTCTGTCTTGTCTGTCTGGTGGTCCCCTGTCGCTGCCGTCGTGCTTCGTTCTGCTCTGCCTCGCGTCGTTCGTGCGTCTCGCGCTGCTGCGGCTTGCTCGCGTTCCCTGCGTACTCAGGTCTCTTTCGGCAGGGGGTTGGACGCGTGTGCCATTGGCCACGCCTCCCCCCCGCTGTAGTTGCGCGCTCGTGGCCCGCGTCGGCGTACTTGCCCCGCGTACTCAGGTCTGCAGCGGGGGGTTGGACGCGTGTGCCTGCGGCCACGCCTTCCTCCCGCTGTCGTTGCGTGTTCGTCGTTTCGCTTCGCGCCGCTCGTCCTGCTTCCTTAGGTCTTTGCCAGCGGGGGGTTTGGATGCGTTGCCTTGGGCCACGCCCTCCCCCCGCTGTCGTCGCGCGTTCGTCGTCCGCGTCGCCGTCCGCGTCCTGCGTACTCAGGTCTCCTGCAGCGGGGGGTTGGACGCGTGCGCCTGTGGCCACGCCTTCCTCCCGCTGTCGTCGCGCGTTCGCCGTTTTTGCTGCGCGCCGCTCGTCCTGCTTACTTAGGTCTTGCCAGCGGGGGGTTGGATGCGTGTGCCTTGGGCCAGGCCCTCGCCCCGCTGCCGTCGCGCGCTCGTGGTCCGCGTCGCCGCTCGTGCCCTGCGTACTTAGGTCTTCTGCAGCGGGGGGGTGGACGCGTGTGCCTGTGGCCACGCCTTCCTCCCGCTGTCGTCGTTTGCACGCTCGGCTCGGCTTCGTCGCTCTTTGTTCGTTCGTGGTGTTGTTGCTTTGTCCGCCTTGTTGTCCTCTCTCCTTTTTTTTTGTTTTCAATATGTTTTGGGCTGGCTTCTTTTGCTGGCCTTGAACCGCGGTCAGAAGAACCAGCGATGTCTGCAAGGCGGTGGCTGTGCTATGAAACTGCAGCACGAGACCGTCGTCCGTCTCTACGTAAAGAAGGAAGCAAGCGAGATACTTCCGCAGAGTAAAACGGCAGTGGCAGACTACCTGACAGAGCCTGCCGTAGAGCAGTTCGCAACGCCTAAGCCCTGAGCATCATGAATTTTTGGTTCCAACAATCAAAGCTCGTCACCAACATTGAACACTGTTCAGCAGGCTCAAATGATCTTGTTCCGATGTGGTGCATGCAGTGGCAATCGTCTTCAGGCCATGTGATTCGCTGCGGGGAAAATAGCACCAGCTGGCGGAGTGTTCTCTACAGCGGCAATTGAACATGTCACACTGCTTGCGCAACTTTTCATCTGATGAGCTCACTCTGCAGTACTCCGTTGTGAGCAGCAGCACTGTGGGGCTGCAAGACAGACCCCTACCCCTTCGCGGCATATATTTATTTCTTTTTTTATTTTTTTTTCATTCATGTTGTTATCGCGAATAGCCGTTCAGTGCTTCCATGAGAGTGCCGGGGCCGCGGCCTTTTGGCTAGTCAACCGAGCACTCTCGCAAGGACGTCGCTAGTGTGAGATCAAACTGGCGGTTACGGGCGGTCCTAGACAAGGAAGGCCAGTCATTCAGAGCAGATGTTGTCATTGCAACACGGACACGCAGAGTGCCGGGGCCGCGGCCTTTAGGCTAGTCAACCGAGCACTCTCGTAAGAACGTCGCTACTGTGAAATCAACACTGGCGGTTATCGGGCTGTCCTAGGACAGGAATGCTGTTCACTCGGCGTTGCTGCTGTCATTACAAGACAGAAGCTCCGAAGCGGGATGCGCAGGAAAAGCAAGCTAGCCATTGAGGGCTGAGTGCATTAGGACGACGTCTTTTGCAATTGTGATGTCAACAGTGCAGCTCTGCATCCCATCAGCAGAATATTCGCTTGCAACTTCAACCTTCTCGCTGTGGCGTACCCCAGGCATTCAAGTAGACCTTCGCGCACTCCATACGGCCCTTCCCACAATCATGGATCTACCAGCACGAGCCCTTCGACTCGGCTTGGCACTCGCCGAACGAGCCCTTGAGGACGGTTTCGCCCCAGTACTTGGAGATTCCTTCGATGAACGCCGATCAGGATCACACTCTGGGTTCGCGTCAGGTGCACGCGGTGGTCGCAGAGCAGCAAGCCCTGGAGTGGCACGCTTCGGGGACAGTCCCCGGCCTACGCGCAGGCAGCGCGGCTCTAGCCAAGGCTACGCAGGAGCTGGTCAGGACCCTGGGGTGGTCGGTCTCGGGTCTTCCCGGTCGGAGCCTGGTGTGCCCGGTTACTACTCGCGTACAGCCCATCCGGACTCCCAGCCACGACACCGTCACACACACGCGCCTCCTCCCGTTCCAAAACACCCTTACGTCGTACTTCGAGAGCTAGCACAGGTCAACGCCGAGCCGTGCATCATCGTGAGGACCGACCCCCAGTATCAAGCCGCCGTCGAGGACAGACTCCCACCATTCCGGGCACCACCCGAACTGGCAGAGGTCGCGGACGAGGACGCGGCCATGGCACCACTTCCTCCAACCCGCCCCCCCCGTCTCTAACAGCTTCTCTAACTCCGGCACCAAGCCCTTCCAACTCCGCACCACCCGTAGGGTTTCTTGTTCGAGGTATCCGACTGGAAGAATCGGCTCTTGCCCTCAATGCCGTCTTTCAAATGTCCACCACCCTTGCCAACCTGGCAGCCGACATCGTTCAGATCCCACCGGGTGCAGCGCAACATGGGATCACTACAATGCTGGCGCATCCGCAATTTGCGGAGGTCCCGACCGTGAGGATGGTGATGCAGGAGCTTGCCCAGCACTCTGGTGTGCCATGGTCGGGCAGTTCCCGCTCCTTATCGCTACAAACCCCACATGGTACGGTCAGGTTGAGCTTGGCCCAACGAGCCCTCCCGGAAGTGCCCCGAGCGGTGCGGAACATCAGCAATCCTCTCCCAGCCCAGCCAGAGCATATGGAAACATCTTCCCACCCGGAGAACTCCAATTCAAGCATTGGTGCAGCCGAGCCAGCAACAGGTGCCACTCCAAGACCAACTCCACCTCCTGCTGGTCATCTTGCTGATACTGTTGAACGAGCAACAGACACGCATCGTTCGGTTGACATTGCTGACGGTGCACAGACCATCAGGGACCGTCAGATCTCAGTGGTCCTGCGGGGTCAGTCACGCGGAGTTGCCCTCGCACATGTTCCTGCAGTGCCACGCAATGGTGAATGTGCAGTGTGCAGGTCGCCTTTTGGACATGGGGAGGAGGTGGCCATCACGCTGTGCCTACATGCTGTACATGCTGCCTGTCTTGAGCGTTGGCTTGCACGCGTAGAACAGATGGACTCAATTTACTCGGCAAATGATGCGGAGTGCCGATGCCCGGAGTGCAATGCCAATATCCTTTCGTTTAATTTCCCTTCAGTCTAGCGTTGTGCTGGTCTCCTGTCGGGTGTACAATTCCTGATTTTTGGTTGCTTTCATCCTTGATCGCCCTGCGATGTTCCGCGGCCTGGTTGGGCCCATGGCCGCTGGCCGCAGCGACTGCTCGCTCATCATCCGCTGTCTTAAAGCGTTCGTTTGGCTTGTTTTGCGTCCTTTGTTCTGCTGCCCTTGTCTGCACCCTCTTGCTGCTGCCGCTTTGCTTCGCCGCCGTCTCCTCTTTTCGCCTGCCGGAGACTTAGCTAGTTTCCCCCCCGCTTTGGTCATGATGGAGCCAGCCGATGCTGACAATGATGAGCCGCTTCCGGATAGACTGGAGGCAGCGGTGGGTAGCATCACAGTCCTCCCACGGCTCACTGGTATCCCACTTGGTCACGACTGCTCGTGGAAGGGCAGTCAGGTCTCTCGTCTGGCAGCTTTGCAAACTGGTGGCATTGGGAGGGACAGGTATGCCTGGGGAGCGTGGTGGGCGGAGGCCATGTCGGATCTAGGAGCAGACATTGCTGCTTTGACAGAAACCCGTATCGATGGAGCCTCCGCACACAACGCTGCAATCAACGGCATGTGGGATGCCGGTTATCTCTGCATTTCCCATAACGTCTCCAATGCCGACAGACGTACAGACAATCCGCTTGGCTCTGGAGTGGCGCTGGCCATCAAGCGCGAGGTGGCCGCTGATTGGACAGAGGTCACACCCGGACCACATGGTCGAGCGCTGGGCGGCTCCATCCGTCTGCATAACGGGGCTGTGCTCCGGGTAGTCGCGGTCTATGGCCCGACAGGCGCATGTCTACCAGGCTTCACTCAGAACCTCAGGGCCGTCCAGCACGAAACTGATCTCGTCACCTTTCTGCAACAGCAAGTGGCCATGGCTCAAGCAAAAGACTGGACTCTGGTGGTTTTAGGTGATTTGAACTCCTTTACCGACGGGGCTCTAGATAAGTGGCAGGGTCAATGGCAAATTCGAGACGAGTGCCTAGCCGTACAATGCCGCGAAATGGGTCTTATTGATACCTGGCGAGACTCTCATCCCACACTTCCCGGTTTTACTTATGTCTCTCCCACAGGCAGCGCTAGCCGCCTGGACTCCATTTGGATCCTCCCTGCCATCGGATTCCATACACCTGTTCTCAACTCGGCACTGCTCTGGAATTGGCACAAGAGAGTGGATCACCATCCGGTTCTCATCGACTTGGGCATTGACATTCCCACTGTCCCAGCAGCCTCATCAGATCGTGAACAACCCCGGTGGCGAAAACTGGCTGATATGGCTCATGGCCATAACCTGCAGGCACTCAGGGCACAAGTAGAGGCCCAGATGGACACACATCGCCCCCTACTTATGCAAGCTGCAGCGGATCTCACAGAGGCATCCACACACGGCGGCACTTCGCATGCAACATTGTCCGAAATCGGAATGGTACACGGGCAGACGCCAGCTCTTAGTCTGCGAGAGGTGTTGTGCTCTCGCGTTCACCAAGCACATGACTCCATCATGGCAATCTTGCATCAAACTCTGCCGACGACGAACCAACCCAGCATGGACCGGAAGCTGGGCAGGGCCCAAAATGCCTGGGACACATGTTTGGCTCTGCTTCGCTCTCTCAAGCACATCCTGATCGATTCGGAAACTTATGACCTGGAGACCGCCAACTCCATATTGAACCGCGCTGATGTCAAGTGGCGTCAAGGCCTTCATTTCCTGGATAAGCGAGGACAAGTTACGATACAACGGGACCCATGGGACTGGGATGGTTTTCATACTCAACTCGATCGTTGGTTATCCTCTTTGTCTGCGCCAGGTGCTCCTCAGCTACGCCCCCCCGACATTTGTCAACCGGCGGTTGATGCGGTTGCGCGGAACTTGCACTGGGCACCTTCTGCCACGGAGACCGCAGACCGCATTCTCCTAGTAGAAGCTTGGATACAGGAAGCCCAAACACTGAGAGCCAAAACCGCCGCGCACCAGGCCCGTGAAGGACATGAAAGGAGGGTCCACTTGCTACGCTCAGGTGATCTCAGACGCTGGGCTCGCTGTTGGCGTACACCAGCATACAAGCGCCAAGCCTACACTCCGCAACAAATCACCACCGCCAGTGGTACTCGCCGTCCCAAGACCCCTGCGGAAATGCGTAAGGCTGCTGCGCAGGAGTGGCAAAAACTCTTTGACCATCCTTCTCGGCCGTGGTCGCATGAGCTGGTGCATACCTGGACGGACCCCTCAGGATTCTTGCGGGGCAGCCCGAAAACACATGACGTCCAGGTACCGCCAGATGTGCTTCAGGCCCTTTTGTGCCCTGGACCGTGGAGTCGGTGTGTATTTCGGGGTTCTGAGGTCCAATGTTTGGTGGAGCAAGAGATTCGAATCCAGATATGGCGGTTTCGGAGAGTCGGGGGACTGTGGGAGGGCAAGCTTCTCGGTCCTTGCGAAGGCCAGGTACAATGTGTGGTGCATATCAATGGGCAGCCCGCACATCTTTGGACCCTACGGCAGTGGCTCGCTCTTCCGCCACAAGATACGCACTGCCTGTTTCTTCTGCGTCCCCAAGCTCTTCCTACCCCTTCTTGTCTGGGGCCGCTCACTGCACATGAAAGATCCCGGTGGTTGTCCAAGATGTCGTCCTCCAGACCTGGACCTTCTGGATGGAAGTTATGCTATCTGCATTTCTACCCTGGGTGGGTCCAAGACATCTTTTGGCTTTCTCTTGACACCCAACGTGCTATTGGATCAGTCGCGCCCTCGCTGAAAACCGCTGTGCAGATCAACATGCCCAAACCTAAGGGCGGCTGGCGGCCTCTGACGATGCTTGAGGAGGCCTTCAAGGCCATAGAAGGTCCGGTCACTCATCGCTTGGTTTCGGCTCGTGCGTTCCTCACAGCTGGCTCCGTCTTCAGTGCCTGGAACCGTGCGTACGAACCCGGCCAGTCTGCGGCCTCAGATGTCCTTTACCTGGATGTCCAGGTGTGCGAAGACTCCCTGGCTCATCATCTCCCTCTGGCAAGGGTTCCCGCAGACTTTGAAAAATTTTTCAATACGGTCAATTTGCACCAGGTCGACGCTGTGCAGCAAGCACGTGGGTTACCGGACCCCATCCGCCAGCTATATCAGGCAGCCTTCCAGGGACTCACCATTCAGGTGGACACCAAATGGGGCCTGTCCGACCCGGTTCACTGCCATCGCGGTATTCCCCAGGGAGCAGCCTCATCCCCGGAACTGTCCAAACCCGCCCAAGATCCGCTGTTGCGCTTGCGCGAGAATAGCACGGCCTGCTACGTCTCGTCAGCGGGTCGGCGGGTGCCTATGGCCGGTTATGTGGATGATGCGCGAGCATTATGCTTATGCGGGCCATCAGCTGCCGCAGTTGCTGCAGGATCTTTCTAAAGGAAGCCAGTTGACGGGCATTGGGTTTGCATGGGACAAATTCCATGCCTTTGCCACGGATTGGGACATCGTGGCGGCATCACCTCAGGGGCAAGCGGCCGGATTCACTCCAGAAGGCATACCGGTCTCAGGCTACGACATTTGGGCAGGAGCGGAACTCGTCACCACTCTGCCCAGAGCCAGGGACACAGATGAAGAGCTCCTTTTGGGAAAAAGGGGCACTTTTCTGGATCGTCACTCGGCAGCGGCGGAAGACATCCTGCTTAAACTGGACAAGCTCCTACAAGGATTCTCAGCGCGGCGTTTCAGTTGGGATGAGCTAATATTGGGAGCCCAAGTATATGCAGCAGGGTACCTCAACTACGCTCCTTTGGTGGGGATACCCCATCCGCAAGCTCTACACAGACACGATTCTGCGGTTCAACAACATCTCCTTCGTGCGCTTCATGTACGTTCATCGGCGGAGCGTGTGGGGCTCTTGGCAGCGCGGTCCGTTGGGGGCCTGCAGTTGTTCTCGGCGGTGGAGGGATCATTGGCATCGGTGGCGGCAGAAGTTATGCGATTGCTGTCCTCTCTGTCCCCGGCTGGACAATTAGCTAGGGACGCTTTAAAAGAGGCGATGTCCATGGCGCCGGAGGCGGCAGAGCAATGCGACTACATGATTGTACGTGCACTGCGACATCTAGCTGGCTACGGTATCTTTGTCAACTCGAGTATGGATCGCACTGTTTGCAAGCAGAATTCTTGACCATCTAGCAGATTTGCAGGGGCACCGACCTCCTGGCCTCATCGGACCTTTCGAACAACGCAAGCATACCAACATGTTGCCCTATTGCAGAGTGGGTCGCCTTGCTAACGCTGTCCGTTCCTGTCTGCTCCATTTCCGCAACAATGGGATTGCGGACACTGAATGGGGAGACCCTGCACATTGGTTTCACCTGCCGGCGAATTGTCCGGCCTCACCGCAGCAATGTGCTGCTGCTACTACTGCGAGCCTGGCACGTTCCTGTGCCGACTGGGCCCTTGAGTGTGAGCTCTTCGGGGTGCATCATTTGCCGATTGCTGAAGACTGGTCTGCGGCAGCCTGGGAGCATCCACAAGACCCCAGTAATGACCTGCGAAGCCAACACCTGGATAGCAAACAGCAGATTCTACCCAACGTCGATATTGGCCTTTTTGCGGACGGCGGGGCCAACGGAGAAGCCACCGTGGCTGCATGCCAGGCGAGAGCCTTCGCGGGTCCTCATTACTGGAACACGGCTTCGGCAGCAGGCCCACAACTGGCAGTGCGACTCCCTGCTAGGTACGGTTGGGAGCACACCACGGTCCACACTGCTGAGCTATTGGCCATGCTTGCTGCTCTCCGTTGGCGTCGTCCTGGTGCTTGGAACCTCCTAGTACTGGATAGAGCCTCACTGTTCCCCTTATTGCAGCAAAATGCCCACAAACAGAACAGAATCCTTTCCTCCCCATGCCTTCATTTGGTATCCCGGGTACACACGGTCACAGGGGAACTTTCAAGTGCCTGGCGGGATCATGCCCCTACGCCGCTCTGGAGAGCGCATCAGCTCACTGCTCCCGAGACCTGGCACGTTCAGGGCAATGTACAAGGCCGTTCGGCGTCGCTTTGCAGTATCCCTTTTCTCGATTTTGGCCTCGTTGGTGTTCATGTTCGCAGTCATCAAGCCAATACCACTGCCCCGGCGCCCGTTATCGTGGAGGGCAATGAGAGACAAGACGAAGGTTGTCGTCACGCCTACCGTCTGCCGCAGCCGCCGGATGTTTGGTGGCCCTCCAGTGGCTTAGCATTCCAACTCTCATACAAGGGGCGAGCGGTCACGGACACTTGCCGCAACTTCACTCGCAAACTCCTCCGCCAAGAGGCAAAGGACAAATGGAAACTTCGCCCTGTACAGGGTAAGATTGCTTCAGTTTCCGGTGCCTTTCTGCCAGGAATGGACTTGCGGTTGTATGTTTCCTTTACAGTGCCCAACCACTGGGCACGTTGGCTCCTACCCAGCGATCGCCGCACTGTGGATCTTTCTGCTTTCGCCTACAGATGCTTGCGCGCCATTGGCGGTGGCTGGACAGAAAGACTGCACTCCGATACGAGGTTGCAGAAGCTAGCTCTTCGCTGGGCCGACTTTGCCAACACCTCTGCCAGAACGTGCCCGCTATGCCTACAGCTCGCTGGAACACCTCGCCACGTGGTTATGTCATGCCCTGCCATGCGCCCTATGGTCCACCACTTCCTGGACGATGTCGAAGCTGAGCTTGTTCGCTTCGGTAGTGCTGCACAGCACTCCCTTGAAGCCGCTAGACGCCTGCCTGCCTCCCCCAAGTCCCCCACCCCGGAAGACGCCACGCGCTGGCCCATCCTCACTGCTTGGAGGTGGCTAGTGCCCATGCGAACCGAAATCGCGGATTTTGCCGCGGATGCAGCCGGGAGTAGTGCAGTACCCACTCGGATGGAATCTGGTACTGATCTGGCCTATCGTGGAGTCCTTCCAGCTGCATTGGGACGCTTCATCACACGTACAGCCACTGCAGCTTCCAATGACGAGCCTGACGATCCGGACCCCCTGGCTGATGAGTCCTTTAGTTCCTCCCGAGACATGCATGGCGCTTCGGAGGATGTAGCGCGCAGCCTCAGCAAGCTTACATCCGTCGCTGGGGCGGGGGTTAGCGTCCTTCGCTTGCTATTTCTCGGTCTTCGTAGCATACGTGCTGAATACCTCAAGCGCATCGCTGCCTGGGCGGATGCTACAGAGGCGGCACTGGATGCCAATATCCAGCCTGCTCCTCCTCTCCCCCTTCCGGCGGCCCCGGCCCCTGATGCATTCCTGGACTGGTTTGCCTCATCTGCAGGATTGGGGGTACTCAGAGAGCTGCGCTGGCTTGCCCCTCCAGTGGAAGTCGCCCTTGCCAGACTTCGTGGAGCCTGTCGTATACCAGGGTATCGGCCTTCTGATGCTAGGCTTCGCAACATGTTGCTTGCTGCTGGTGTTCCCTCCACTCAGCGGGACAAGCTTTCCTGGATGGTCGATGGTCTGCCTTGGGAATTGGCACGGGTGCAGCTTTCACAGGTTTGTCAATGCCCGCGCTTACTGCCTGCCCCTCTCATCTCGTGCTGCATCACCTGTCGTGGAGCCCAGATGCAACCTGCAGTTCCAGCTCGCATGTGCCCGTGGTGTCGCCAGGACTCGGCAGTACATTGCCAAGCGTGTGGCTGTGCATTACATTTCCGTGGGGCATGTGCTTGGAACAGGGGAGCCAACCGGCTTTTTCTCCCCACAGCGGAGGCCCCGGTGATACTGTGCCCAGACTGTCACTGGGCCTGGATGCGGGCGCGGGCGGCACTTCCTTGGCGACAAGCGGGGCCAGAGACGCCCTCTGCCTTAACCGCATTGGTGGTTGACCTCCGCGGTCGCTGCTCCCCAGGAGCTGGTTTGCACAGCAGCACCCTGACCCTGCTGTTTACCTAATTTTACACTTTGGCTTGATTTACTGTAAACGAAGGATTTAGTGTAAAATGACCAAATTTACGTAAATTTTCTGGTGAGCTAAAAACAGGACAAAACACATAAAAACATTATGCAAACACAAACATGGAACTCATATTTGCGGCTGCAAACTTAGACACCACATGTAAAGGATTTAAAAAAATCACCGTCATGAGTTTGTTTTGCTCTGCAATCGCAGACACCACATGTAAAGGATCCACAGCAGAAGTAAGGACTTTTCCGAAAATTCGCAGGCCCAAAGCCATAAACTAACCAAAGAGAATCCATGCAGATTGCTTATAAGATCCACACCAGTATATACGACAACTGTGATTCAAAGCCCAAACAAAAGACCAGGAGCACCACATATAGCAGAGAGACACTCTTTTTTTTCGCGACAGAAAAGAAAGAAGCTCTCACGATCGCCCAACTTTGCCCCGCAGAAACAAAAGGTGCCTCTCTTTGAGGGCAGCCTTTTTGGAAGCATGCCAGTGCTTCACCCCTGCCAAACAACTCTTCCATAGAATCTGCAGGCGATGCATCGTCGTCTCTCCCTTGTAGCACCAGCCCATCGACGGATGAATAAAACTGCTGAGTAGGAGACTATGCAAAACGAAGTGGGTCTTACTTGTGAGATTGAAGAGCTTCTCCCCCGTCCCTTTGTAGTGGGCTTGCAGGCTGCTGTGGAGCTGTGCCATTTGGCAACCGAGCTTGAAAGCCAGGTTTGCTTGCTCCTCAGGGAAAGCCAAGAAGCCGTACCGTGGCCCATAAGCTTCCAATATTTCAGCCAGCTGCAGGTTCAACCGCAAAAAGAGCCGGATTTGCTTGTGTTGATAGATACCCTCGTCCATTTTCTCTTCGAATAGAGCAAGAATTGCACTGTCCAAAGATTGAATATCGGAAGCTCTTCCTCTCATCTTGGGGAATCCTTTTTTTGGTTGTATCATTGTAAGTTTCAGAAGTCGCTGGCGGAATGTGTATCTGGTTTCGTTGTCTCGCTGGTACTTCTGGATGAAGGAGTCGCAGTATTTCAAATTCGCCAAGATACTCCCACCCAAACAATCGTGGACCACGATGCTGAGCACGGAGCCATAAAAAAACTGTATCCACCCCAAAAACATACAATGCATATAGTCCATCGTGATACAAAGTCCCGAAAAGCCAGGTAAAGAATACAGCTGTCATGATGGATTCCAGTGGGATCTCCAGTTGGTGGTGGTGAGGCACGAGGCTTGCCACGGCGAATTTGCACGATTGTCCATCCATGTTAGTGGTCCTTTGAAGGCGGCCCGACAAAGAGCACAAGGTTTGCTGTGATTGCTCCATCGTGGAACCTCCAGCCATTTCGCATAATAATCCAAGTCGCCAGCCAATTGAACCAGGACACCATAATATCCTCCGCATAGGTCGGTTCCCGCTCGTTCGCCCTCCTTTGTACTGGCCCCATACCTCTGTGCCGTGTAACAAACATTTTCTTACTTGTGAGACAGGTTCATATATATCTACATATATATATCTACATGTGGTGAGAGGGTTTTTTCCGTATACTGTGTGGTGATTTTTCTCACATCCGGTTCGTGCTGCTTTGGGATTCCACGGGTCCGTGGTTTTGTGGCTTATATATGTTTATACGATATTATACACTGTGTATATATATATATATATCATCACCATCAAGGAAGCTGTTGGGTTAGGGTTGGATTTGAGAACAGGGCTCTCATACATAGGGTGTGTATGTATATAGTCACATATCTAAAACAGGACCCACATCAGAAAAAATCAAGAAAGACAAAAAGGCTTACAGCTTATAGGGTTCCCACAGGGTCCTAAAATGTAAGGGTTTCCAGATTTCTGGCACATGTGTACATATACCACAACACACCAGGCTGCTTCTTGCCTTGCCAATCCCGAGCAGGCCATTTACCGGTGTAAAGAATGTTGAAAGACCAATACATCACTTGCCAAAAAGTTTCCATTGTCCCAGCCCCCTCGCCGCCAGCCGGAATAATGAACTTCTCAAAAACCCCCCAAATGTAGAGGTTGCAATCGGCAGCAGATCGGCCGGCCGCTGTGGCCATCAGCGATACCCATGAAAAAGCCAAAACACTGCGAGCCCATATCTTGCCCACTCCAAAAACAGGAACTTCGTCGCCGTGTATGCAAAGGGGAATAGCCTTTTGCATCCAATTAGCTCGCGATTTTACCGCATGATTTGACATGCAAGGGTGTCCATTGAACGATCTCCAAAACCGAGGCAAAGCCTCCGCATCAGGCAACACAGAAGTAATCCATCCAGTCGTCGTCTTCCAAATGTGGTGCATAATCTCGTGCGGAAGCAATATCATGGAAGTCGCCGTGCCTTCGACTTGTCCTGCTAAGGGGATATTAAATTCTGTCGGCATCGGAAGATTAGACTGCTGGGCCAAGTGGTTGTCAATAGAAGATTGCAAATTTTTTCCATGCTTCACCTTGCTGAGCCTGTCCAAATCAGGAAGAATTTTCCCGTCCCTTGCATTTCTAATATCGGCAGCCGCTGCAACTGCAATTGCATGAATCATAGAGGCCGACAGGAGGCCTTGTTCCAAATACGTCATCAGCAAATCGTGCAAAGAACTTGAGGTGGACTTCTCACTCACCGCCTGGCCCAATCTCTGTTGGACCCCACCCTTTCGTCGCTTTCGCTCGGGCCCTGCATCCTCCATGGTACCTTCTCTCCATATATAAATAAACAGAACAGCACCTTTATGCAAAGTTGGTGTTTGTTGCCAGCTGAACTTTTGTGCCTTATTTCATACAGTGGTTTGTTCGCTATAGCCATAAAACATTTTATAAGGACGGGACACACATGGTCAGACACACCGAGCATTGAGGCTGAGGCTTGTGAGCAAGTTATACATATATGTGTGGGCACCAAATATACTATACAAACAACAACAGAAAGCTTTTGCCCCAACCCCGCAAACCCAAACCCCCTAAACCACACGGTCCACTGCCCCTCAATCTGGACGAAACAAATCTTGTGAGGGTTTATATATAAGGTTCAGGATTTAAGGGTTTATAGAGGGTTCAGGGTTTGGGGTTACGAAGGTTGTGTTGTGAGCTTCACAGGGTTTTGGAGGTATGGACTTTCATGGTTGATTCAATGCTTGAGGTTCGGAGGTATAGCTTTACACATGTGTGCACTCACACATGCAAAGCATGCTACAACAACACCATCGGTGTTATATATACTCTAAAATTGAAGCTGAAAGTCACGAAGACCAACACCCCAACATGATTCAAAAGGTTATAGTTATACACGTCGTTGCTCACATGTAAAAATAACCAGAAAAGCGCCAAATCTCAAGCTCTCATCATCGCCGTTGCTTTTTTCTCTCATCGCCAAAACTCAGAATCGCCGTTTGCACCACATAGAGGCGACAGCTCCGGAACTGCACACATTCAAAATCTGTCTAGCATCCTTTTTTGGCTCGGACAGTCCACTTGGCTTTCACGGCTGCCATTTGTTCTTCGAGATGAGTTGCTACTCGCCCGGACTCTCTCATGGTCTTGGAATATGATGAGATCGTGATCGGCCCGTCCTCATTCTCATCCTCGTACTCGTGCCACGAGAGGAGGTGCTCAAGTCCCTGCTTCGATTTTGTTGCTTGTTGGACGATGCTCTTCCTTACAGCTGGGGGGTCTCACACAGGTTTCGGTGTTCGGGCACTGGGTTTACTTGCGAGAGAAAGCACAACACTTTGGTTACATGCGACTGTTGTTGAAGAGACTACTTTTACGAGTTAAAGTTTGTGCTTTACTTGCGAAGACAAAGGTTGAAGCCTCCATGTATTTACTTACGAGTTAAATTGGTGACTTTACTTGCGAGGATAAAAAAGTTGAAGCTTTTGGCAAGGTTGTTTCAGGAATACAAAAACAGTCCAAGTCGCACACTCTGGTACATGTCCTTGTCCTGCTTCTCATCCACGGAAGCAACCAACTTTCTGCCCTCGACAAGGATCTTATTGTAGGCCGCGATCGCCTTTGTAAGCTGCCCATCTGCTGCCTTCCACAGCTTCTCCGTCATGTTCCTGCTGTCGGCCACGGTACCATCGCAGATTGCGAGCTGCTCTGAGTCATTTGTCAGAGCTCTCTGGGGCTTTGCTTTGCCCTCGCTCTTCTCCTCAAACAAACCAATCCTCCAATCCGTGGACTGCTTCTCGAAGAACTTGGCCTCGCCATCCTTCGCTTTGGCATCGGAGCCCATGGAAAACTTCTTCTCCTTCCCTGAAGTGGAGTTGTGCACATCCTCGGACCACATGTAACGATCTGGTCCGTTCTTGGAACGGACAGCGATGATCTCGCCACTCTCGAGTGCGGCTTCGAACTGCTCATTGCTAAGATTGAATTTCCCCTGAAGCAAGATTTTGCCCAGGTTTTTCTTCTTGTTGGTCGCCTCGGACTTCGTGTAGTTCTCCTCGCTCCACCCACAGAAGAAAAGACAAGCCGAAGGGGTTTAGGGTTCAAGCTTAAGGGTTTGAGGCTTGAAGGTTTTAGGGTTCAGGGCTTCGTCGTTTGAGGCTTTGGGGTTTGGGGTTATATATATATAATATATATATATATATAGAGGTGCACAGGTTCAGGGTTTAAGGTTTGGGGTGCACGAAGGGTTGTGGTCATCATTATTATAAGTATAGTATAGCAATTATATATAATATATATTGTATGGGAATGCATTTATAGAGTGTTTTTAGATATGCATATATGGTATAATAAAAATAAATGTAGTAGAGCCCTATATAAACAGTTAGAACTACAAAACAAAAGCCG